GAAACAGAAACTAAATCCAAAGCTCGTGTACGAAATCAAAGTGCATGGCTTTATGCTTTGGGCATCGATGGGTGTTTTATTGCCCATTGGTATAATCTCAATCAGATTGATGTCTACCAAAGACCAACCTGTAATCACTCTTCGGCGACTCTTCTTTCTTCATGTCACTTCTCAGGCAGGTTTCCCCATTTTTTTCTGCTACTTTTTTAATATATTAAATCAAATATTAAAACTTCAACAAATTAAATCATAAGAATGTTGAAAGTGTTGTATGAGTTGAAAATAAAATTTTATGGTCGGTGTGAGTGTCAAATGAATATGGGTGGATAGAGAGTAAAGCAAAGATGCCTCTTTCCTCGTCTAAAGAATAAAGATTTCATCCAGCTAACGACTTTATCATGATTTCTTAATTTGTAATTAGTAGGGCCTTTTGGGCTATTCTAGATTGTTAATCACATTGATAATCATGGAGACTTGAAGGCCAAGCAAAAGCGTAAATATTAATTCCTTCTTTCTCTTTTTGAAATACTTAACAAAAACTACACCTATTATTTGTCAAAAGAGATTTTGAATACAAAAGAATATTCCTTGTCAGTTGCTACTAACAGATTTTTATAAGTTTATAAATATTGTTAATCAATATCATCCGTCACTTTTAACTATTCTTATAAGTCACCAAGCGCGGCTCATGGTTTGCTTGGAAGATTAAACGAGCAATTAACAATGTGAGTAATTTATCAAACAGATGGTTGCAGTGATACTCTTGACAATTGGGGCAATAATGTCAATAAAAAACTTCAACAATTCTTTCAATAATCCTCACCAACGGCTAGGAATTGGACTTTATGTAATTGTATGGTTCCAAGCTCTTCTTGGCTTCCTCCGACCTCCAAGGTATTTCTCTTTCTTCTTCTCTTTAATAAAATAAAAAATAAAACTCTTTTTGGGTTTGTGACAAAAAAAAAAAAAACTCTTTTTGGGTTTTTGTGTTTGTGTTTATAGTTTGCAACAAAATCTCTGGTGATCACAACTCATATTAAGGATGCGAGTTTATGGTTAATTTACATATTAGTAACTCAATTTAGGCCTGAGGAGTAGTGACTCAATACCAAAGATGTGAATACTATATAAGTTTACCCTAGTCATATATTAAAATACCCTTTGTAACCCTTAACTATAAGTTTCTATGTAAAATACTCAAAATACTGCACATAGTCGACGAGAAATTAGACCTCACAACTTAACAAATGCTTATGGCAACCAAAAAACTACTAAATGCCCATTAGTTAGACTCAAAATATTTTGACGACGAGAAGTCGAGAACTACTAAATGTGTGTGTCTCACTATATTTCATCTTTAACTAGATTTTCTTCTATACATTGCAGGGGAGTAAAAGCTAGAAGGAATTGGTTTGTAGGACATTGGATATTAGGAACATCAATTGCTATTCTTGGGATAATAAACATCTACACAGGCTTACAAGCTTACGCTCAAAAGACATCAAAAAGTTCCAAGCTTTGGACCATACTCTTCACGGCACAACTCTCTTCTATCGTCTTGTTCTATCTTTTTCAAGACAAGTGGTCTTATATCCGAAAGCAAAGTACAATTAATAGAACACAATGCGTTGATCATAACAGCAACATCTCAACCGCAGAGACTAGCCATGGAGAGGAGGTTGAAGAGACTAAACCGGCGTTGGAGAAATGCTGAATGGTCTTGGCTCTTGAGAGATTGTTTTGTAGGAGAAAAAAGAGTTTAAATGGAGTTTAAATTAATATGTTGGAGTAAAATATTTTGACTAACTTTCGAGGTTTTTTTAATCTTTTGTAATTTTCAAATGAATCATGTTGATAGGTTGTGATTAAAAGTCTAAACTAATGTAAAAGTGTTATTGTTCGCCCAACGAAACTCTACAATTTGAGAAACAACATGATAAAACATAGCATCTTCAGACATTTGACTCAAAGTTTACCTTCTCAAAATAATGAAATCTCATATCTCATATATCAAATGAAGGCATGCCTTGTCAGTGTCGGAAAATCTAATCACCTCATACATAGGTCTCGTGTAATCAATAATATAAGACACTTGTTTCCTCCAATCATCACTCACAATCTTCTCCTTCACAAAATTTGTTTTCCACCGTGCCATTTTCTCCATAAGTAAACCACTCCTCACTTATGACATGACTTGAAAACACCTTTCAATAAGTTTCAATCTCTTAAGTTTCACAATGATAGAAGCAAAACAAGTATCAAGAACCGGAAACAATTTAAGAGGAGATAACTTACTAAATATTGATAGTCTTACATATTGATAGTCTGATCGTATTGTAGTTTATGACAAAATATTTTATTGCGAATGCATCACAATGAATTACTTTTATCCAATTGCATTTTTCATATGTTTATGAATTCCCTTCCACTTTTTTTTTTATGCACAAATGTGTTTCAAAACAAAATTAAGAGTATGAACAGCACATAATGTCCAATAAATATGAAAAAACATAGACCCAACCAACTCTCTAGCCGCCTTACCATTTGCTACATTATAAGTGATTATATGCACAATGTTTTGTTGACCTGCTTCATTGATACAATCTTTTATCAACTCATAAGTGAATAGTCTATCTTTTACTTCGTTAAACCAATTCACAACCTTGAGAAACAAAAACCATTTACAAAAGTAGCAATGAAATTAATCAGAGATTGTAACTCTTGGTAAAAAAAAATATATTTATTTTGGTCGGGTCAGGAGCTTATCCTTGGACAAATCCTAGAAATGTTTTGACTTGAATCTACAATGGTCCAAACAACTTGAAGGATAAGGCCACCAGAGACTGATTCCCACTCCGGGTATTGCATCTTGTTGCCTAGAGTTATATGGGTCTGGAGTTGAGTGGTCAAACGTGCATGTACCCTTTAACAGCATCCGGAGCATAGAGCAAGGAGCCCGAGTTCTTGTATCAGAAATTCATACTAGGTATAAAATATCTTTTTTATGCTCTAAGTTCAAATTCTTTCGATTATTTATGTTTGAATTCTCAGTCAAAGGGTAAAACACTTTCATCTTATGCAACATGTGGTCCATACTCAAAGAACGATTAAAGTATAAAGTAGCTGATTCCAAAGGAACACCCCAATGCCAGACCCGCCGTATCAGACGGTGCCAACGATACGAGGGATCAGATGCAGTGTTTGCAGAGGTGTATGGTCGGCAGACAAGGAAAGTAGGTGAAAACCACTAGAGTGTTTCGTATTGGGTCAGACCCAAGTGGATAGACCCAAGTGGATGCACGTCCGATATCCAAATCCGGACTACTAAAAGTCTATAAACACTATTCTATTTTCAATTCATCAAATAGATCCGACCATTAAGCTAAAAATACTTTAACTTAGCTAAAGTTTATTCCTTTAAGTTTTGGGAAATGATTGGTTGGGTTATAAAAAGTATTTACAACTATTATTTTTTCTACAGCCTCAGAAAAAATATTGGGTTGTAAAACCCCTAAAATCTACCGCCTTTGTTTTGAAGCTGTGTAGGGAATAGGGAATAGGAAAAAAGTGGTTGTAGTTATTATAAACTATTATAGTAAAAGGTGAAAAAA